AAATTGTCTCAAAGGGTAGCTGTTCTATTGGAAATTGATTTTAAAAGTTGCATGCTAGGATCATTCTCTCTGTATTTTGTAAAAGAAAATTCACTATATTTTTTCTTCTTTTAACATATCAAGGAAATAGGATCCTTTTGCCAATCAATTGTCATTTTGGAGATATCTTACTTTGGACTTCAACAATAAATGGGAATGGTTGAATTAAAATCGATCTCAGGTGTGGATATGAATCCATATCATGGTTATCAGAATCCCGATCCCGATCTTATTGGATCTTGCAATCCATTTGGATCCGGATCGTGTAAAAAATTCCTTATAGGTAGGATCCTTCGATCCTAGTATTGGGATCTTATAGGATGGTGGAATCCCGATTCGAATCTGATTCAATTTACAAGCCTTGTTTTATATTGTATGACATATTTTATTGTAAATTTTATGTTTGTTGTCTAAATACCAATTGTGGTCAAAATAAATAATAAAAATTAAATAGTATTGAATCAAATAAACTAAGAAAAACAAACTGCGAAACAAACATTTAAATATTGCGGTAATTTAATAAAACTAACTAGTTGGAAAAACAAACTTGCTTTAGCGGAGTTTGAGGAGGGCAAGATGATTGCAACTTTACCCCAAATTTTGGAGAGATTATTTTTGTGACTCGAATCCGCTTCACCAAGGATACTAACGACAAGCTTTGTCATTCAGTTAAACTGCTCTCTTGAGTTCTTAATCTATTTTCATATCCAACTTTATTAAATATTTTTTCTTCACTTTTTATGCATTATTGTAGATTGTAAAGTATTTTGTTATAGAATTTTTCTTGTTCACTTTCTTTTTTGATGAAATAGAAAACTTTTATCATCGAGTTTTCTGTTGTATAATATTATATGTACATTTTACGTGGAGTATTATATTTTTCACAATATCTTTACTTCTTTTTAATAGAATATAGGCTGATTTTGTGTATACTTTTTAAGAAATGTCTATTTAAATTAAATTATTACGTAATTTGTCTTTTTTGGTTGGATCTTACAATTCTCGATCTGATTCTACGATTTGATTCTATAAACACCTCCAACGATCCAATGTAGGATCCCGATTTTACTAACCTCGATCCAGATAGACACAAATTAGTATCTCATGAACCTGATTTGTTGGTAAATTAACCCCAGGGCGGAAAAAGCAAAACAAAGAGGTATGTGTGGTTGACTCTGCTAAGTTTAAACTGAAACTTGGACTACAAACTGAGGTTGCTCCATTTATTAGTTTGAGTTTTCAGTTCTGTGGCACCGCACCTTTGGAAAAATCTAATTCTCTGTTTTTTGTTTTTTCTTCAATTTTTTTATTTGTTTTTTTTCTTATGTTCTGTTAGATAAAACACAATTAGTCAATTTCATTTTGGCAACTTCAATATCATGCTGATTGTCTGGAGCTCAATACTGTGTGGTTGCAGGCAGAGTGTGAACTAGTTAAGATTGATATCAATTGCATATTCAAGGTGATGTTGTGCTTGAGTGTATCAGTTTACATGATGACATGGAACGGGAAGAGATGGTGTTCCGAGTAATGTTCAACACAGCTATCATCAGGCCAAATATTCTAATTATTAGTCGTGATGAAATCGACATGTTATGGGGTGCTAAAGATCAATTTCCAAGAGATTTCAGGGCAGAGGTATGCTTATGTTGTGTTTGAATGACATAACCTTTTGGTAGTATTGTTCCCCCTAACAAGGACCGTTTTATTCATTTTTTTTGTTCTTTTTTAAATTTTTATTTGGATGAAGGTTCTTTTCTCAGACATGGATGCTGCCGATTCTAGAGTTCCCATAGATTTGTCTTGTTTTGAGGAGAAGGATGGCCTTCCAGTGGAGGCATTTGCTAAAGTTAAGGAGATCTTTAGCAGTGTTAACTGGTTAGTTCCGAAGATAGATGCTGCAGTAAATGTTCTCCACCAAATAGCTGCATCAAATGTTGTCCAAGAAAAGTTAGACACACTCAGAGCATTTGAAAGTGACACCAAGAGCTCCATAAACTGGGTCTTAGGTGATCAGTCTGTGCCCTTGCTTGAACCTTCTCCACATGCAGATGGGGCTAGACAGAAGGCTGAGCCTGAAACTGTGTCAATTTCACCCTCAACACCACCTCCATTGTGACCTTATGCTAGGGAACCAGTTGCTTTTCCTCTATCTCCAACTCTACTACCACTTCATCTTTCAACCTCACAACCTACGCATCATTCACTTGGCAAATAGTCTGAGACCTTTCCAGAAGCAGGGCATTCTTCTTTGGTTCCTCAACCTACTGTTGAAACTCCGCCTACCATTTCCGGTAATTTGTTATCTACTCATTCTCTTTGTACAGCCCCTCCAATTGCTTCATCAACTCCACCTCTTCTAGCACTGCCTTTGAAAGAGGATGTAGCTACTGGAACTAAGTCGCCTCCACCACCTCCACCACCTCCACCTCCAACTGCAAACCCTCCTCCAACTATGCCTTTGAAGGATTCATCTATTGACATTAGGCAGCAACTAGCCCCATGTCCTTCCCCAACTTTGCCTCCTCCTCCAACTCCACCTCCTCCAAGTCAACCTTTGAAGGATAAAACTACTGCTAGAACCGGACCCTGTCTGCCCCCAAATCTGCCACCGCCGCATCCTCCTTCAGCTATGTCTTTGAGAGGTAACCAAGCTGTGAGAATTGGATCTCCTTCACCCCCAACTCCACCTCCTCCTCCAACCCCACCTTTAAAGGACAATTCAACTATCATAACTGGACCACCTCCACCCCCACCTCCTCCTGCAACCCCACCTTTGAAGGAAAATTCAACCATCAGAGCTGGACCTCCTCCGCCTCCGCCTCCTCTTCCTTCTAGGCAAGCTTCAGGGCCTGCAATTTCTGCTTCAGTGCCCCCACCGCCACCTCCACTTGCCCCCAGTTCTTCATCCAAGCTTCTTCAAACTGCACCAGATAGTGCTTCATGCGTCCCATCTGCACCACCCCCTCCTTATCCTTCCGTTAAGGGAAGTATTGGAGATCAGAGTTTGTCCAAGTCTCCCTCTCCTGCACCTCCAACTCCTGCTCCTCCTTTTTGTTCCCCATCTGGTACAAAGGGACGAGGTTTGTCACGTCCTGTAAGTTCAAGAAATAATCAAACGAAGAAGTTGAAGCCATTGCATTGGTTGAAGTTGACAAGAGCAGTGCAAGGAAGTCTGTGGGCTGAGGCACAAAAATCTGGCGAAGCTTCCAAGTGCGTATTGGCAATTATTTATTGGTTTAGGGAGGAAGATTCCTTAATTTTTCTTGCTTTCCAATCCCGTTCAGTTTCATGCATTATATGATTGTCATCTGTGCACATTAGGGCACCAGAGATTGATATGTCAGAACTTGAGAGTCTTTTCTCAACAGTTGTTCCAAATTCAGATCAAAGGCGAGCAGGCCGCGGATCAGGTTCTCGTTGTTCACTTGGGCAGAAGCCTGATAAAGCGCAACTGGTAATCTAGTTTTCACCTCTGGTGGTGTTGTATGTATTGCTAATTATTTTTTATTTCATCTTGTCAACTTTTTAAATCTTGACTTAATTTTGTGATATGGTAGATACAGGCTTATACTTTTATCAATTGAGATGTTTATTGTTAAGATAGGTTGTCGGAAGAAATTGTCTAATGTTAACACTTTCTAACACCATGTATGGGGAGCAACACTTGAGTTTTGTATCGCATTGTCTATTATGGGTGTCATATCTTTTTTTAACTTCATTTTGAACTGAATTTTGGCCCGAAGTCCCGATTCAACTAGTAATATATCAACACAAATTTGACAGTGCACTTAGTTGGTTCTTGGTTCTTTTTTTTTTTTCTTCTGAGATTAGCATAATTGAATAAAACACCTACCTACTTGCATTCTACAGAAATTTTACAAGCCGGACTATTTCCTATCATTCATAGCATAACAATCTTGATTTCATTCACTTCTCAAAAGCAAACTAAGAAATCCTTCTTTGCTTATAAATAATGATAACTACGATTCTTCCACTATGCATGCATAATTTACCAATATATGTATATTTCTGTAATATGTGGAATGGGTTTAGGGTTTAGGGTTTATGAAGATTAATTAGATAAAAAAGTGAGAACTCTTCACAAAAATTTGCTTGTAATTTACTGCTATTTGAATATTGCGTAATATTTAAGTGTCTAATGAAGTCCATTAAGTTTCTAAAAAAAAAAAAATATAAAGTCCATTTACAAATT